AGTTACCATGAGTCTGTGACTGAGCCCGCCAACAGTTTTCCTTCATGGTTTCTGCTAAAAAGTTCTTGCTTTTGTTCTTGCCCCAACTTTCTTCAACAATAGGCCTGCAATTATAAGCTGGGAAAACCTTTCCACCCCTACTTTGATTTTGGTCAGGCTTTCTTATCACAGGCACAGAAAATAAATTACTCATTGCTTTCCTTGCTGTTGTCACTAGATTCTGGACAGAACCTGGCTAGCGGTTTCATGGATTACAACCTATCCATGTGTGGGTGCATGGGAATTGGGGATTTAATGGTGGTGATGGGATCTTGTGGGAATGTCTTACATCCTGGAGGACCAGACAGTAGAGAGCCAGACTGGAACATGATACTTTGACTCTTCATCACTTACCCCTAGTGACCTAAAGTCATACAACAAGGACCTACATCAACCCGCAAAGGCAATGCCTCCAAATATTCAAATGTGTCTGCCAGTGGGGGAAACTTTTCACTTTGTTATCACAGAGAAGGGATAATAATTATAAAGTAATGTATATGGAGTTTTGACTTGAATGCAGAAAACAATAAATACGTTCATTACCATGGGAAATACATATTATCATGCTTTTCATCTTCATATGTGTAAAGACAGAATTAATACAAAAAGAAAAGAGGGTTGAACAGTAAGGCCTGGGTCTCATACATGCAAATCTATATCAAAGATATAGAAACTGCAAAATGTAAACAGTGTAATTTTCTGCTTAATTGGTAGCACAAAATACCAAATCATTTCAATGATAGTCTTTATCTCTGAAAACAGAAGATTAGATGATTCAATACTAGTTTTACTAAGCCTGAACTCTGACTGGTGAAACTCATGGGCTCATAGTATCTATTTTGTTAATTGAAAACAAAGAGAAAGAAAGAAGGGGCTAAGAATGTGATGGGCTAAGAACATAATAATGGTAGAAATGGACAGGATATGTTTGTTGAACTAACAAATCGACTTTTCAAGGAACTTTGTTTCACTCTCCTAAATAAGATAAAATCTGTGCTATCTGCATTTCATTGAGTTTTTCTCATTAGATCTGTCATGATTTCAAACTTAATTTTATGTATAAATGGATATTTATATTTATCCATGAATGAGTGTTTATGTATATGCATGTATATATGTGTGTGTGTGTGTCGTTATGAGTGTGTGTGTGCAGGTAATCAAATGTCACAGCACATGTATGGTGGTAATGCTGGTGTCAGCTTTCACCTCCCAGTGTGGCTGAGACAGGATCCTCTCTTGTTCACTGACATTGGCCAGATGCTAGTGAGCCCTGATTTCTGGTAATTCTTCTATGCCAGCTTCTTATTTCTCCATTGGAATGATTGGATTTATACAAGACTAGCTTTATGTGGGTTCTGCTGACTTATACTGAGGTCTTCATGTGTACAACAAGCACTTATTTTTAAATTTTTGACAGATAAATTGTATACAACAAGACGTCCTTTAAAAGTATTCACTCTGGGAGAGAAACAAGCAAATACCATCATATAGTCATTGGGAAGCCCTCTTCCTCAATGCCTTTCATATTGGGTTATAGATAATTATTTTGATCACTTTGTATTAAAAAAAATTCCTGGTCTCTGGCTTCTTTAAAATACTTGCAGATATTTCACTTTCTCCCCACTCTTACCCTGAATGTCTTTCTTTGTAGGATCTAACTCTGTGATTTAAGGCACAGTTTGTTGATAAGAAATCATGAGGGTCCTTTATGAATAGGAATGCCCCAGATAACCTCTCAGTTCATCCCCCGATTTAAAAAGCCTTCATTACATTGAACGTTGCAGGCTGAGAACATTCAAAATTTGTCATAGTTTCAGTGATTGCAGCTTGGTTTGGAAGCGTGACATGATAAGGAATCATTTGCAAAATGTGTATATTCTTTGGCACTTAGACAGACGCTTCCCAGGCAGTACATCTAATTAAGAGTTAGGGGAAAGGAGTAATCGTGGTCTGTCATCATGTGTTACTATTACATGAAGGTATACCAAAACTTATTGTGACTTTTAAGATCATGGTCTCATAACAAGGCTTGTATTTGGAGCTAGAAGAAATTGCTTCTTTGTTAGCCTAGGGTTTTCTTACAGGGGCATACCTTATTTGCAGGTAAGGGTCCATTAGATCCTTTCTGTAGCTATAACTCTTCGCGTATTGTTTAAAGTGTAAGAGACTTGGTTGTTCTGCTTAGAAACAACCTTTGTCCATTGCTTACGACCTTGAAAATTGATGCATTGTCTTTTGGGAGCTAAGACAGCTTTATTTAAGTTTAACTTTCTCTGGAGAGGCATAGAGATAATGAAATGCAATTCCTTCTGCGAGCATAACCATGTACATAACTTCCAGTCATCCCTGATGCATAGAGCAAATTTGATAAGAGCAGTTCAAATATTGAAGCAATTAATGTTGATTTTTCTCTTAAGTTGCAAAGAAACCCATGTCAGCAGTAAAGGCATTGAGGGGGGAGGGGATAACCATTTCTGAGACCAGCTTCTCGCTGTGTCACATGTACTGGTATGTTCAAGTTTTCCTTGTTTCATTTTAGAGAAATTTTTCTTATAACAGTTTTGAGAGTCGCTATGAAGGAGGAAAAATGAAAAGGCCTTTGGTGTGTGTACATAGGGGACACACATTGTGGTGTTCAGCTCACAGGCACAAAAGTCTTAGATTACTTATCAGAGCGTGAAGCCACTGTGCTCTTTAATCATTGTGTAGAACCCTGCTTCTGTATTAATTTGCTTCTTATTCCTGTGATAAAGACCATAATCCGAAAAAACATGGAGAGAAGAGAGGTATTTGGCTTTCATTTCCCAATCACAGTCCATCATTGTGGGACCCCAAGGCAGGGACACAAGGGAAGTAGGAGCCTGGAGGCAGGAACTGCAGCATAGACTTGGGAAGTGAATGGTGAGTGATAGGTGGATGTCACAGCTACCTCTGCTCAGGTTGTCTTTCCTTTGTTTATTTTTTTCAGATAACAGGAAAGAGAGAGGCATCTCTCTTTTAAATCTTATCTTAGGTGTACACACCTCCTGTGGCTAGTGAAATGATAGAAATTTGGTGGTACCTCATTTACGTTACAGTAATACGCGTAGACAAATATCTGTTTTCCTCCACCTCTGGTATAGGAGGTTCTTTGAATCAAGCTCAGCACTTACCAAAGAAACAAATGGAATCCTGTGGAAATCATCATTCTTATCTAATCACTCTCTGAGATCACGGCAGCGATCTTACTTTTATACAGCGCTATCATGAGCCAAAGTTGTCTTAAAGTTGTAACACATTTTATTTTGCAATTCATACTATATTTTATGGCTAGGGCATGATGGAGAAATAAACTTAGGTAAGCCTTAGAAAGCCACTTTGCATTGAATGCTACCCCTATCCCTGAAGGCAGGGAAACACAGATTGGCAGCAATCAGTAGGGAGCGGGGATTTGGTTGTTGTTTTATCTTTTGCTATTTTGTTTTGCTTTGGAAACAGTTCAAATTATGTGAATGCAGGGTTGTACTCAAAAACTGGTATACTACTGCATTTTTGTTTTGTTTTGTCTTACCCCAGGAGGGGAAAATCTATGTAAAAACGTAAAAGTAGATTTAGAGAAAAATGAGAGGAAATAGAAAACCATATGGGCGTGAATGCATAAACAGTGTCCTCAAGACTCACTCACTTCCTAGGATGCTCTGAGCTTGGAAGCACAGGCTCCTTCCCTATCTTACGTTCTTCTTTCTGTCATGCCCAGTTTATAACTTGAAAGTAATAGAAATCATGAGTGGACAGCGGAGAGCAAAAGATGGGAAGCCTTACAGAGGCTGCCAGGCCACTTCTCTGCAGCTGGCATCTTCTCTTCCTGATGAAGATGAGCACACAGCGTGGCCTTTGTGCAACAATTGATCTTATAATATAGCTCTGTTGAAAACGAGAAAGGATGGATTGCCGTTTGAGCACACCTTTTAATTTTATAATACACCTTTATTGAAAACAAGAAAGGATGGATTATCATTTGAGAGAAAGAGAGAGCACACCTTTTCAGACTTCCTGATGAATTGTTCCCCCACTCAAAACTCATTTTTGTCTGGGAAAATAAAATTGTTGGATTCACTGCAGCAAAGCTGACAATGTTCTCCCTTGAAGAGCTGGTGGCACAAGTGGAATCACTGAGGTCAGACTCAGGGTGTCTATTCTTTAAAGCGCATTAGCACATGGTGGGGTCTACAAAGAGAAAGAATTTAATTTATAATGCAATGATGAGGCCCTACATTACACATTTCTCAGGTCAGATCTATATTTGGATTAATTACAGAGAAGAGATTATGTGATTAAAAACCAGAATGAAAATAGCTGAAAAATATACAAGATGGATTAAGAGAGGAAAATTGTGAGTAGCCTGGCTTCTTACAAAGCCATGTTGAATGTATAAATGATCTTTGCATTAGATATCTGGGTCCACCAAGGCATCTCTAAACTTAGACTTATTATAATAAAACAAACCCCAATAGCTCAATGCTATTCATCTTCTTTGTATTATTATATGAATTTTAATACCAGAGATTTTAATTTTAGTTTAAAGAATAAAATTAAGTAGGCTTTGGGCTTAACCAATAGCAAAACATATAGGTATATTTGCTACTACTTTGGTTTGTAAATCTTTTATTTATGTGAGTGTAAATGTCCATTGCATTCTTGTAGACGACCTAAGTTCAGTCCCCAGATCTTGAAGTGACTAACAATAGCGTATATAACTCCATACTTCAGATCCAGGGGAACCAATCAATGCCCTCTTTTGGTCTCTGCAGAACCCCCAACACACACACACACACACACACACACACACACTCACACACACACATCTTAAAAGTAAAAATAAAAATAAAGTAAAACATGTATCTGTTGACATGTGTACATTAATTCTGTTATATCTATTTATATATGAACCACCCAAACTAATATGCATTATTTATTTTCAGGGGAAAAGGACCACTAAAGCATACCACTGATGTCATCTATGCAGCTAAAATGATATCAGAGTCAGGATCAAGAATGGATGTTCTCGCTCGGCAGATTGCTAACCAGGTGAGCTACTTACAAATAGGCAGGAGGAAAGACTTTGTTGTTGGCTCTCTTCTGCTGGATCATCAACTAGAGCAAAGCTGAGTGACTTTTTTTTTAACTTATTGACTACATTTGCTTTCTATATCAGAGTTTTAAAATTTTAGAACAGTGTAATTATGCAATTTGCAAGACAATAAATTCTATAAAAGTGTAATTAGCTTTAGAGAAGACATATATTTCGCTTTAAAAGTTCTCTATTTTAAAAATCATCTTTATCAGATTGAAATGAATTAAATACTTTTAATTGGCTGGAGCAGCACAACAGATATTGTTCTTTTTCTTGATGCTGTCAATTAGTTCACAGGTTTTCTCCACAATGGTAGGTTTTTGAGGTCAGCACTTCACAGAATTATTAGCACAATAAAGTAAAGTTGTCAGTTGTAAGAGGTGTATAGCCCTTGGGCAGACTGGTTCTTCTCTACAATTTTGTTCTTTTCCTTGAGCTTCTCATATTTTAAAAAGCATTTCTAAGCAGTACCTATATTATAAAGTTATCTGTACTGTGAAAAATGAATATTTCAGAGAGGGTATACTATAAAACATTTAAGTTATATTTATCATTATATTTAACTTCATAGTAATATTTCTTTTTAGCACAATTAGCTCTTTGTTTTTGCATAAACCACATACATTTTGTTTATATATTAAGAGAAAAATTTTATTGAGATGCTTTTTAATATGATTGTTGTTGTCCCATCTCTCTGTTTATCCATACTCTGTTGGAACATGAGAAAATTTATTCTCACAGATAAGGCATTGGTGGTACAATGGAAAACAAACAAATAAGGAAAGATTATAACAGAGAAAACTATGTTTAAAGTCTTGAGTGGGCATGCTTATCAATACCTTGCTACTTTTAACATTATACAATTTTTATTTAATCTGTTGTTTGAAGGTGGTAGAACATTGATCACCTGAAAGCTCAGAAGTAGGAATGACACTCAGATAGTTTTAGATTTCAGAAGACTTGAGATTTCTGAATTTCGGAGTAAAGGTGCTCAACAGGTTATGTCTATGTAAATTTTCCAAAAATCTAAAAATATCCCAAAAAGCAGTTCTTTTCCAAGCATTTCTACTCAGAGTTACTGACACAGCATTTAATATTTTTACCTAAAAATGAATTCTATGATCTTGAAATTTAGAATTTCCTAATCTAGTAAATAAATGAATCCCATCCTTGCCTATATGTTTCATTTATATTTTAGAATTGAGTTGCATTTACTTTCATGAGGGAGACTAAATAATGGTGGAAAAATTAAACCATATTAGTTTAGCCAGATTTGTAGGTTTTAGGATGTCTTTAAGGACTGAATATTACCCTGTTTGGCTCTCCTGTTTGTTGGAGAATGTTTAACTATAAGCGGTCAAAAACATCATTTTTATGTTTTTCTGCTACCTTTTATTCTTTAATTTGACCAGATATTGTACAGCAGATCTTTGATACAGTTTTTAATATTATTTTAATTACACAGGAGGGAGGAAAATATCATCCTACTTCCATGCAGCATTGATATTTTCCAAGAAACTTAAAAAGCAGTTATTGACTAGTGAGAAATTATGGGCAGCAGTTCTCTGAATTTTCATGCTGTGATGTTGGAGAGTTTTCTGTCCTAAGCAAATGAGACTCTGAACAATCCACACTGGGAATTAAGAATCTGATGAAGATGATTTAGTGACCATCTCAGGAGCCCATCCATAAATGTTCACTTGTTTGTTAAGAAAAATATGCACATGCACACACAAGCACTCACATACACACACATATACACACAGACATACATACAGACACATATTTTAGGCTTTAAATAATTAAATAATTAAATAATTAAAACCATAGGAAGAACACAATTGGTAGAATATTGAAAGCTAGTCAGTTTGTAGTGCTTGTAAATATTATGAAAGGTTTTCATGGTGGTGTTGGTTACTATTTTATTCAATATAGAATTTTAAAATTTTGACAACTTCTATGATGCTTTCTAGTCTGTTATTTTTATTTTCTAATGGACCATCAAGATATCAATTAGCAATTTTTAATTATTCATTATATAAACTTACATTTGAATCTGTAATTGTTATATTAAATCATAATATAGGCATAGTCTTAGATGAATTTAGTTTCATTCTTTTTAGTATATATTTATCTATAGAGAGAACGGTCTGAAATCAATCTAGCTGAAGCCTCTAAATGTTCGTGTCTGACAATTTTATTCACCTTTTCCATTCTTATTTCTTTCTCTGAATACAGAATTGTTAGAAATATACTAGACATAGTTCATAAATTGTTACCTAGTTAAGAACCGAAAGCCTCATTAGTTAGTTTCCAATTGTAAATATCTGGTTATTTAATAGTAAGCTATGAAATATAGATTAATAACTTAAAATTTTGTTCAAATATAGTCATACATCTCATTTCAAATTTTAAAATTCAAAAAATTTGTTTTTATATATAATATGATATAAGACCTCCTACTAATGCCCACACTTAACCTTATTTACCCCCATCACTCAACATTTCTTGAACTTTAAAATTAAGTTGAGATGCTGTGGTACCTTTACTCTGCCTTTCAGCACAGTACAACTCTGGCCCCAACACTGCATGCATCACATAGTGAATTTTCAAAAGGGAGGATATTTTTGTCTACTACAATTCTTGGACAATTTGAAAAAGACTAAGAGTATAGCAAACTGAAGAATAGCAATACAAGGCCAGGTTTCCTGAACCTAGGTGCATATGTTTTTAATTCCTGTAAAGGATGCAGATACTGTAAATTAGAGAATACAAACAACATTTTATAGGGCAGGAAACTACAGTACCTGTGTAGGTACTGACGCAATGTACCCTCAAGTAGGAAGGAATGAAGAAAAACAAAATGAAATATACAAAATATGGAGAGACCTGGTAATGTGTCTTTTATCTGCCTGCCACTTCCTTGTAATTGTCAAAACAAATATGTCTAGGTTGTCAAATGACTACTCCTACTCGATCATGGCTCCAATTAAAACCAATTCTTATTGTTAAAGGAACTGACAATGATAATTCAAGAATGATAGCACCATAAAAGTTGATATATATGTTTGAAATAATTAGCAATTCATTTAACTAGATCAGAATAATCTACAAGTGTAATTTATATAGTTATTTACGAGATATTGTTGGTGGATTTCCTTATTTGTAATTATTCTATATTGATGGTGTGAACTAAGGATTTCATTATAATAAACTACACTAGAAATTAAATTCTAGAACCTTCATTAAATCATAATTACATACCCATTACAAATATAATTCCCAGATGTACCTTGTGACAGTATGTGCGCTTTGATGCTGTTTTCTTTCTGAAATTTATTTGAAGTGCAGATGTTGACACTGAGTTCTGTCCTCTAGATTAATGAGCTCTTGCTTCATGAAAGTAAATGCCTAAAGGCTCCTCAGGAATCAACCAGGATAGACACTGAAAATGGGATCCGGGTGTACTCGCCAAGTGACAGTCAGTTCTTGTCAAAGGGATCCTCTTGCATCATTTCCCTTTTTAATGTTTCTTTGTCAGTTTTCATCAAAGCAATGCCATAGACACTTTGAGAGTGACCATTCAAATTTCCTCCTTTTCCTTCGAAACGGTGACCCTAAGAAGCAAAGGGCAAGATGTTCTGAGCATTGTGGGGTTATTTTGTTAATGTAAGTGAAAAGTAAAGATAAGAAAACTTTCTCCTTATAACTTCCTGCCTGCCTATAAGTAAAACAATAGCTACTGGGAAGAGTCTAGGAGAATCATTGTTTTTCAAAGGCTATTGGTAAGTTTCCCATGTTCCAGTTAGGCGATTGCACACTTATGCACACACGGGAATCACTAATTTGACTTAGTGGTTTCCAAAACTAGTTTTAAAAGAAAACATTAAGTAAGGCAGGAATGCTAGGAAGACATGAAGGAAATTGAAGGAAGGAAATGGGTGAGGGATGTGATCGTATTTCATAGTACACATGTATGGAATTCTTAGGAACAAAGGAAAATTACAATAATAAAAATTCTAAATAGCTAGATTTTGTCTGAATTAGATTTCTGCCACCCTTTCCACATCCTGATTTTATGTGCAAGATAATACATTCTGCAAGTTTGTGCCAACCCAAGTAATTCCTCAATGTATAAATTTCAGGCATCAGGGAACAGGGTGCTATTTTGAATTGTAATCAATTATTAAGAAAATTGTTTTTTGAGTTTCTCATAGAAGTCATCATAGAAGTAGGTTAGACAAGCTTTTCTGTGAAGCTATTAATGAAAAGGATTGCGGTAGATGGACACATCTTGGCACCTAGGTTTTTTTTGTTTTTGTTTTTTTTGGTTTTGTTTTTGTCAGTGTTCAGGGTCTATGGTCTTGAAACCAACTTAAAATTAAGACAAACTGACAGACAAAATTAACACATGTATTTACAAGGTTTTTAAATACAAAAAAACAAAGAAGCAAAGTGTTTGGGTAGGGGCTTGATTACTGTTTCGGAAGTTTAGTCCATAGTCATCATGGTGGGGAGAACGGCACAGGCAAACTTGATGCTGGAGATGAAACTGGGAGTTCTAGATCTGAACCACAGGGAGCAGGAGGAAGCATTGCAGGGCCTTTTTTCAGCTTTTGATACCCCAAAGCCCACCCTAAGTGATGTACTTCCTCCAACAGAGCCACACCTACTCCAATGCCATGCCAGTTAATCCCTTTCAAGTAACATCACTCCCTAATGTCCAGGCATTGGAATACATGAACCTTTGAGGGGCATTCCTGTTCAAACCACCACACATGCAGTATGATCTCTCAAATGGCACTTAGGTTTAGATGTTCTTCCCTTGTTTCTTACTCTTCCCTTTCCTCTTACTACCCATCTGATCCTCCTGTTACAGTCTCCCAAGCCCTTCATACCCATCCGTCCATACTGTTCATTCTATTTTCCATTCTTAGAGAGATCTTTGCACCCA